CTTGAGCTAGCTTGAATGGAATTCTCTATCATGGAGGGTACAAATCATGGATATAATTACCAAGAGATATCATGGAAGAGTTACTAATATAGTGGGTCTTTCTCTTATCAGCCTGTGATTATGTTACAAGCAGATTGTGGTTGTCTCAGGTCTATATCTTCACAAACTAGGAAAAGTCATACACATAGAAGATGCTCAATCAGTATTTGTTGAATTAATAATTATAGCATGGATTAAATTAAGAGGGGACAGGAGACAGGCTTTTAAATTGAGAAACTAATAAAAAACAGTCTATTTGTCTTAAATTTTGGTGTTTATTATTTTTTAACTGATGGCAAATGAGAAATGATAGTGGGGCCAGTAAGAGAAAAAAAAAACACAGAGTTTAGAAGGAAAGATTAGGCAACATTAAAAAAAAATGGAAGCTGAGGGGGCAGTGGGAACTGCCCAACAGACAAATAAAGATATGGATCTGGAGGTCAAGAGAGAAGCGAACATACAGTGTCAAAAATGCTTATATAAAAAATCCGTGTAGAAGTTTGAAGGCATGATAGATAGTTTGCAAAAAAAAAAAAGCAAATGTATAAGCAATAGAGATTTAAGAATAGAACCTTGGTCAGCATCCATATGGTGGATGAGGAGAGGAAGAGAACCCAATGAAGATGAAAGAGAAAAGACAATTGGAAAAGAGTAAAGGGACCAAGAGAGGTCAACACAGAAGGCAAGGGGAAAGATAGGCAAAGCCAACTTCTGTAGTATGGGGAGTAAGTTGAAGGAAATACCAAATAGCTTTGATCTTCATAGTAAACTGTAAAACAAAGTCATATATTAAAAAATGAGAGATGATAGGAGTAAGATTTAGCCTTGATAAAAGTGGAAAGGTCTGAAGTAAACTTTTCAGGAAATGGAATAGAAATTCTAGGGGCACCTGGGTGGCTCAGTTGGTTAAGCGTCAGACTCTTGATTTCATCTCAGGTCATGGTCTCAGGGTTGTGAGAACGAGCCCCATGTGGGGCTCTATACTCAGCATGGAATCTGCTTGAGATTCTTTCTCTCTCTCCCTCTGCCCTTGCCCTGCTCACCCTCTCTTTCTCTCTCTAATATAAATAATTTTTTTTAAAAAAGAAAATCTATCATAAATGACCAAAGGTTTAAATGAGCAGCATGGAGAACATAGCTGAGTTTAGAAAACATGTATTTCGATGGCATTAAAAAACCTCACTTTAGAGTCTGCAATCTGGAAGCAGGGTGTTAAAATGAATAAATGGCCTTCCTTGGGTTGGGATTTATTCATGCAAGGGATTCGTAGGTAAAAGGACAGTGAGTGGAGAGCACCATGAATTGTCCCTGAACTGTTTTAATGCCTGACCATGAGATACAAGTTAGGAAGGAAGGAAAGAGAGACCACTGAGAGACTTGGTGGTAATGGTGGGATCCAGACTCTCAATTAGAGGAGAGACAAACTCACTAATAATTAAAGGGAAAGGAAAAAAAAAAAAACATGTGTATGATTAAAGAAGGAACTTCTAGATATAAAGATCAATTTTTAAATTCATTCTTTTAAACCAGTCTATTATTACAAAAAGTCTAAGCTGCTTTACCAGATGGATAAACGCCTCCAGTCCATTCCCCCCGGCACTGTCCAGTTGATGCTGCTTTTATCCTCTTCCACCGCGTTTTCCATATCTGTATCTTGTCATTCCCCTTCCTATAGACATTATCTTCCATTTTATTAAATCTCAACACCTCTACAAAAATGTATCCTTAGGTCTGACACTTGTAATGGTCAGTAAATTCATCTTTTTATTGTCTTTCTATGTTTTAAAATGTTTACTATAAGTCCAATGTTATAATATGTAACCATGTATCTCCAGTACATACAAAGAAAATAATTAGTCATAAAAATTAAAGTTATGGGATTAAAGCCTCTACAATCAATGTGTTGTTATAGACATCATATGTCATTTCATCTGAAATCTTTACATTTTAACTATTGAGATAAAGCTAATATATGCAGCAAGATGAGATTACCTTTTTTTAGGCTTAAACAGTGGTATAATGTGATATAGTCAATGAATAAAATAAGCCAATTGACCAACTTTGATAAGGAGAGGCCAGTTCAATAAAGTACTAATATAATTAGTCAATTGTAACTTCCCTAACCTTTGGTCAGCTATAATATTGGATTTGAGGGTGGAAGATCCACTATTCCATTGACTGGACTTGCTGGCCTTCTCTAGCCTACTAGTGTAGGCTCTTACTACTAGTAAGAGAGAATAATAGTTTAATGCTGCCATTAAAAATAATATTATTACTGTAACAATAATAAAAACTACCATTTCTTGAGTTCTTACTGTAATTCAGTCACTTTCCTCTGTGTTATGTAATCCATACAGTTGCATCAGTGATATTTTTAACTCCCTCACTTCGTAGATCAAAAAAACAAAAACTGAAGATCAGTCTACCTTTGTAGAAGGGACTTTCTCAAACCGTAGTATATAATACAAATGTCAAACATAAGCTGTGAATGGAGCTTTTAAACTGATTTTAAATGTTTTAATACTCTAAAATATAGCCTGGATTAAACTTTCAAGCTTGATATTTACTAATTATTAATTAAATACAAGCAATCTAATCTTTCTGGAAAGAATGACTAATTCTTCTGGAAAGAACATGCTTCTATTTTTCAAAAACATCAAACTATATTTCAAGAAGGTGAAGTATCTTCATAAGGTATGTTGCCATTACAATCACAACAAATCCATAGTATAACCGTAGCACTGTTTGTACCTTTTATGATGGAATCTTCAAACTATTTTTCCAATTATAAGACTTTACATTCATTGTTTGGACATCATTTTTATAGAATTATTTTCTGGAAAAATAAGGTAATATTCAACTTCTTTCCTTTTTCTCCGTTATTGAAAATGTGTGTGGGCTTCCCTCTTCCCATGCAACAGTCTCTTCACCCACATCTTCCTGAGGAGGAAAAGAAAAGAGGATGGGAGGTGACAAAGAAGTGGGAATGGAGTACATTCTCACTGCATAACTAACCAAGGGAAGGCAGGAAGTGGTGTGTTCAGTGAGAAGCATTTTCTCCTTAGATAAGTGATTTTCTCCATTTCTTACCCAAAAAAGAAAAATGGGTTTACCGATGAGTTCCTCTTGACCGCATCTTCCTGTGTTCATCCTCTCAAGGGATCATAAATTTTATTTGGCATTTCTTTACAACCCTTTTTTTTTTTTACATCTAATTTGGTTATTTTCAACTTGTTTCAACAGAAGATTAAACATTTAGAATTTAGGAAGATTTTGTTTTAGAAAAATAGTCTTAAGCAAGTGCAAATGAATTGCATTGATGTTTTTCAGAACAATACTTTTAAATTAACCCATCAACACATCCATTGCGATTAAAGATAGTTTCCAAATAAGCATTTATATATTCATTTTAAAATTGCTATTGGATACCTTCTGTGCCATGCTTCTTCACTGTCATATGAATGTGTAGTCCTCAGATTATTTGTTCTGTGTTGATATTGCAGCTATAATGGTGGTGTTTAGATGTAATTAATATAAGTAGGCAAAACCATCAGTGTAGACATGAGCTATACAGAAAAACATGATACTATTAAAAGTTAAAATTCTATATTTTGTTACAGCAGCATATCTGAGTGGATATTTCATTTTCATGAAACAAGTATTTTTGAAAATTTGAAGTATTTACATTGATATTCTTTCCTTCAGTTGACTTTATTTTTAATTACCTATAAATAGCAAATTCACACAACTTAAATTTAAATCACGCTAGTGCTTTAGATTGTTGGAGCATGAAACATAAATTTAAAAGCATCATTTAATAGTATACTTTTGATATTCTTATTATAAAATGCCATCATAACTCAGAGGGATTGAAAGAAAGTATTTATTAAATAACATGACACTTTGAGGGCAAGGTGATAAAATAATGTTTAAAAACTTCTTAAAGGGTTAATGAAGCCAATTACTAAACTATATATTTATTAGAAAATACTAATCATAGATATTTTATAAATTTGTCATCTATGTCTTTAACAAAGGACTACAAAATATGAGTCATTTTGGTATTTTGAGCTCATTAATAAGAACTTTAAAATAGATGAAAGTCAAAAAAAATAAAATAAAATAAAAAATAAAAAAATAAAATAAAAATAAAAAATAAAATAGATGAAAATCAGTGAATAAAATTAAGTTCTCAGTAGAGCCTATCTAATTAAATTTCCTTTTCCATTTGACTTCCACCTTTACAGAATTCTTCCACTATATCAGTTAATGTCATGTCTTACTCATTTGTGTTATTTTATTTGTATATCACCTGCCTGCTGGTTTAACTTCAGGCATTAAATAAAAAACAAAGTTTTTCTTTCTAGGCAAATTAGGTCAGAGGCTCTTTTCTATTTCTAAATCTAATGATTTTGATGTTTTTGTGTTTTTAAAATAAGAATTTCTAGGAGCTTATCAGTCCAAAGCCACAGAAAAACAATCTACTTTTAGCACTTTAAACCTCCATACAGTATTTTTATGTTTAAATTTGTTATTTTTATTTCTTCCTCCTCCAAAAATGCTGTAGCATTTTTTAAAAGTTTCTTATGAAATGTAGGTAAGAACATTTTAGAATTTTTTGCGAGAAAATTGACTTAATTTATTATTAGTTGGATGTGTTACACCATTAGGTCACTGGTGCTTTGTATTGATATTCCAGGCATTATATAGAGAAATAAAATTTAAGTAAGGAAGGAAAAAATAAAAAGTATTCAGTTATAAATTGCTCTACACATTTTTCCATTAGTTATGTAATGTGTGAGTCAGCTCAAATCTAGTATTGTCTTTATGATTGATTTGTCAGTAAATGCAATATTGACATTTGGAGGAAATAAAGACTTTGCTTAGCTATACTTGGAGTCCATTTGGGTATTAATGGTACTGATACTCTTGTTCACATATTGCAATTTTTTTTTTTGCAGTTTTACTAAAGGGAGGAAAAAAAGAGGAAGAGAAACCATTTAGAGACTGTGCAGATGTATATCAAGCTGGTTTTAATAAAAGTGGAATCTACACTATATATATTAATAATATGCCAGAACCCAAAAAGGTAAAACCAGAAGTGTTTGTTTACGAGATGTAAAGCAGATCCTAGTTGAATTGCTGAATAATCAGATTGATTTGTGAGCTTGTTAAGCTGAAAAAATATATATGCCTGAGCTCTTTTCTTCCAGAGATACTGTTTGCCAGGTCTGTAAAAGATGAAAACCCTATGGTACAGACTTCCCTCAAACCCATGTCTCCAATCCCTCTTTCACAAAGTTTTTTATTTATTCTCTGCTCATTACTGGGATGTCCCATTGCTCATAAATGCTTGCCTTGTGTAGATTACATGTTGAGCTGATATGTACTTCAAGTACACAGAGAAGAGTTAGGAACAATCTTTCAAAGTCCCAAGGACCCAGGTAACACACATCATCTATAGTCTAAATACTGTGGAAGGGATGCCAGGGACATATTGCTATTTGTAGAATCACTGCTCCTATTAGGGTGGGAGAAATATTTTCTATCTTAAATCATAATCTTGATAGGATTTGCTTTTCATGTTTACCTGAAAGAGTGGGTTGGAGGCTAGGATTTATCAGTATGTTGAACAGGATGCAAAGTAAAATTTGAAGTAAGCAAATACTATGTTCCTGCTGTTATATCTCCTTTATATACTCTTTCCCCCCTATTTATTGATTAAATTATCCATCTATTCCTTCACTCAATACATAGTAAGTGGATGTTATTTGTCAATCACTGCCTAGGGACACAATATAGAACAAATAGATCTCACCTTAGTGGTGAAGAGAGACAATGACATAGATAAGTATAACACACTGTAGAAGTGTAGTGATTGAGACAGTCTGCTCAAAGAAAGTTTATGGTGAGCCTTGAAGAGAGCCCTGCTCTTTGACATATGAGTTTTGACCCAAGGTGCCAAGAGGGACCCAATACTCCAAAAGGATTACCTTCCTTTGTAGTGCTCCATCCTCAAATGATGAAACAACTTCCCTCTTCTCTTTGCCCCACCTAAATTACCAGTTCCATGTCCTCATTTCCTGTGGATACTGTGCAGGAGCTCTTGGAAGGCCTGCCCTAATTCCCTCAAGCAGCTTTGTATGACTTTCTCACCAGTAGAGGTCAAAAGACAAGGATTGTGCCTCTTGGTCTTTGATTTCCTGGGACCCAGCATGGTTTCTGGCACAGAGCAGCTCTTCAATAAGTATGTGTTTAAAAGAATGAATGATAATAATATCAACATTTCTATGTAGTATATAGTAAGTAAGCCTAACTTAATCTTCTTGATTATTAGTCTCCTTTGATAGATGAGAGAAATAAATCTTGAAGAGCAGTCTGCCAGATGTTACATCATTGTCAAGAGGAGAGTCTGTACTCTACCAACATCCTCTCTCTCCTGATTTCAGTAAGGATTAGTGGTTTAAGTTAGCTTAGTGTTTTTTATTTCCATTTGCTGGGACATTTTTTTTTTCCTAAAAGGAGGCCTTTCATGCTGTTTTATAATGGGTAAGGATGGAAAATGTGCAGGGGGGCAAAAAAAAGCAGCAGTGTTCCATACATTGCTACCTGGGCCACCTACCACAGAAGTTTGGTTTCACCAATTTTTGTTTTGAGTTTCTATTCAAAATCTCACTGAATTAAGTGTTCCATGGCTTAAAAGAAAGAAAAATAACTATGAGGATACACTGGTGAGTCTAGGAGTAAAGAGAAGAGGGTAACTCATTGTAAACGGGAAGCTTTTGGAGCCTTTAGATCTTATGAAATGAAGCCTGCCTACTCTACTTGTTGATATCTTAAAATATACTTAAATTTAAAATCAGTTGGCATATACATGGGCGTGTATACACATCCACATACTCATTCACCATACGTCTTGCATGTAAACTTGAAGGTTTGGGCCTAAGAAAAAATAGTAGCCTGAGCAGGTAAGCCTGGAAGAGGTGAATTTTTATCACTATAGAAACAGCCCCATGCCTTTTCAGAGGAAAGAAGTTCATGTGGCATCTGGTCAGTACTATAATTAGATTTTAGTTTTATTGGAAATGGCAGAGTGTTGTGAGAGGGAGAGTTCACTAAGCAGAAGGGAGAAAGACTTTGGCCTTTTTCTTGACTTAGGTGTTCCTTTCCTTGTTTTATTCATTCCCCTTTATGATCATGGATCCTCTCACAAGTAGTAGTGTTTTTCTATTATGGAAACTTTAGACTGATAAACCTGAAATTTTTTCATAGGTATTAATTTTTTAAAATACCTCATTTAGTATGGCACTAGTAAGAAAAATTATTGTGTGACTTTCCCATGGTATAATTTAGAAGCTGGTTAATACAGTGGTTCAAATGCACTTAACAATTTGCCAGGTCTATTCTAAGCAATTTAGATGTAAAAAATCATTTGTTTACTCTTTTCAGTAATTCTTTGAGATAAGTACTCCCATTATTCCTATTTTAGAAAAATAACTTGCCCAAATCACATAGTATATATTGAACACAGGCTTTGTAATAAAGGCATCAATTCTAGACTGAATCTCTTAGCAGGGAAGTTAAGTGAGATCATGTTAGTGGTGACTGAAGTTGCACTACTAATAAATTTTTTAATTTTTAATCTGAACCTACATGAGAGACACAGGAAAGAGTTTATTATCAGAAAATTATGTAAAATTGATTCATATTCCAATTATAAGCCACCCTGCTCCTTTCTACCTTATAATCTCATTTTCTTCTCCTACATTGATATAAACCCTTGAATCCTCTGAATCCTATAAGATGTGCTTGGAAAATGCATCTTTAGGACCTTTATCTTCCAAGAAAATTGTGCTTTGTAGATATAAAATTTGGTTCTACTTTTGGATATGCTTTGCTTATTGTAATGCTTGCAGAAGAACTAGCAAGGGTATGAAACTCAAGGTAAGCCTATAAAAACTAAAATAAGAAGTTCAAATCTGGGACGCCTGGGGGGCTCAACAGTTGAGCCTCTGCCTTTGGCTCAGGGCATGATCCCAGTTCCGGGATGAGTCCCACATCAGGCTCCCTGTGAGGAGCCTGCTTCTCCCTCTGCCTATGTCTCTGCCTCTTTGTGTGTGTCTTTCATGAATAAATAAATACAATCTTAAAAAAAAGAGAGAAGTTCAAATCTGTAAGATATGGGATATAGACCAATCAATAAAATTGGGCTATTTAGGCAGTTGACAAAAATTATTAAGAAGTATTCATCTTTTAGGCAGAGTAAGAGTCTTACATATACAGAATTGGTATACAGTTACCTTTCTAAATGACATCATTCCCTTCCAAGATATGATGTCTGGAAAAGAAGTGTTATCTTTTCAAATGAGATGAAAGCAGTTTCTAAGACTATTTAATTTTCCAAGCAGATCCAAAATGAGAATTAGATCATTTATGTATCTATTTTTTACCTTTGTGTTAGTAATAGCTATAGATACTTTCCTCTCTGAACTTCCTTCAATGCATAGTAATAGGAAATAGGATTTTTCCTTTTATTTCATAAGTTTCTAAAACCAAATGCTGTATAGCCAGCTTAGTTTATCCAAAAATTCAATCATAACTCTGTTTATTATAAAATATTAAAAATTTGTTTCTGAATTGTGAGTCCCCTAATTCTTGGGAAAGGACCATAACAAATGTGTTGAGCCTTTTTTTACTTAAGGTTATGGAAAAATAATTAACATCCTCAAGCCTAATCATTCCAACTTGTATGGAGCATAAAACCATAAGAACTATGTGAATCAAATTTCCCCTTTTTGTTTGGGTTTAAATCTCTGTATTATGTTAAAAGGTATTTAATGCTTGAAAGCTTTGACCTTGCCTGGGATAGGAGCCAGTTCAATCTTTTCTTGGATAGAATTAAGCCTAAGTCATATGATCAATAAATGCAACAGGCATAGTAAATGTAGTGGGGCCCTATCTCCAGGAAGGACACCGCCAGATAGCACAGACCACACAATATTGGCGAATGAGCTTTTCAAGTTCTTTCATGTCTCAAATCTTTTGAAACCAACCACCTATTTTCTTAAACTTCCTTCATCTGTTAAGCATAGGCTTTTTAAATTTTTCTTCTGATTAGAAATAACATGGGGATTTTTTTTTTTTGGCTAAAGTGAATCCAACTTCTTAAATAGATATATAATAAAAAGTAACATGCTCTAAGATTAGTGATGTCAATATTATTACATTTATATTATATATTACTATATCAATCATAAATATAGAAATACATCTTATAGAAAATATATATTATATAAAATATGTTAATATATATTATTAAGCTGGTGATCATAAGGACAAATTATTGAACTACTACATGTTTTGGCATTGTACATTCCATATTGTTCTTATTATAAACAATAAATTGAATGCAGTGCCATATATAATAGTAAACTATGCTTTATGTATAAGATATTATATGTAGAGTATATAATGCATAATGTAAATACATACTATCTTCTATGTAGAATACGTCTAAAAGATGAGCCTATTATTGACCAAGCACTAGTCTAAAAATTCTATATGCATTGACTCATTTAGATCCTAAGCAATGGAAACAACAGAGTCAAGATTTGAACACAGGTAATTTGGCACATGAGTCCATGCCCCTATCCAATATGCCCTTCAGCTGTATTGTGACCATATTACACAATGGCAGCTATTATCATTGCTGTTATTCTTGAGTCATAATAAGAATTATGGAGCATATATCTGACCTCTTACCGTCTCTGCACTTCAGCTCTCCCAAAACAGTAATCCATCCAGGTAACTTCTACTTCCCTATGTAGTCTGACTCTTTCTGGGCCTTTATCTAAAAAGTGTTCTCAGCACATCTTAACATTCTCAAGTCACTGAATACATTTGTTTAAAAGGTAATTTGTCTTTTTCAAAAATTTGTGAATGATTTTAAAACTTTAAGTGCATAGAGTTCTAATAACATAGATGATAGTAATAACAAAACTGTGAAGAATAGTTTCCTCTGCACATTATATATTTATAAATGTAGTTATTCCTTTCCCTGAGTATGTAAGTGGACTTTATAACTTTGCAAACACAGGTTAGCAAACTTCCAGGCAATTAGTGTCCACTAAGGAAAAAAATCTAGGAAAAAAATCTAGATTAACCAGTCAAAGCAAGGTAAAAATTTAATTAAGAAACAAATTATACTAGTTTCCTCTAGCAAATGTTTCCTTGACATTTTCACTTACTCTTATTTAAGAATCTCCAATAAAGTTCCATGTCTTGGATCATTATTATGCCTTCTTTAAACTGTGCCATCTGGATTTTATTCTCATAGGAATCCTGCAGTCTGTCTCTTCAAGGTCACTAATGATGCCTTCATTTTAAATTTAAGTGTGTATTTTCTTAGTCTTTATTTATCTTGACTTCTCTGGAATATTTGATTAAGTGGATCACTTCCCCAAATCAAAATCTGTCTTCAGCTTTCATTACATTAATCAGGTTTTCCTATTTTATCTTTCCTTCTTGCATCTCTCTTTATTAAACAAATATTCATTTAGTACCTGCTATAGGTGAGGCACTGTTGTAGGCACTGGGGACGGTGACAAATAATATATAAGTCCCTGCCTACCTAAAGGTTATTGATTTATTTTACTTCCATCAATTTACCAAAGCCCATTTTCGGATCCTCCTCCCTCCTGCACATATACATCTCTTTCCACTTTTTCTTTACTCCTTTAAATAATCCATTTTCATGTTATCAACTACTGCTCTCAAGCAGACTACTCTCAATATAGATAGACATGGGGTTCAAATCCTGAATCCGAGATTTGTTAGTAATAGTAACCACTGGTGGGATACCTGGATGGCTTAGCAGTTAAGTGTCTGCCTTTGGTTTAGGGCATAATCCCAGGATCTGGGATCAAGTCCTACATCAGGCTCTTTGTGGGGAGCCTGCTTCTCCCTCTACCTATGTCTCTGTCTCTCTCTCTGTGTGTATCTCATGAATAAATAAATAAAATCTTTAAAAAATAATAATAACCATTGATAAGTTACTTAAATACTCTAAGAATTGCTTTTCTCATCTGAAAAGTGGGAGTTATGACCAAACATACATCATTGTCATAAGTTAGAAAATACATATGAAGTGTTTAAATTATCTGGCACTTAACAGCAAGCATGCTGTTAACAGAAGTTAATGGTGATTCCTTTCTTACTCCTTTATTATCCATGTTCTTATCCTTAATCTACCTCAACTATATCATCTCAAGTTGATTGATAAACCCCCTTTCTGGATGACTCTGCAACCTCAAATTATGTGTGTCCAAAACCATCATAATTTTATTTTCTTGTATGTTAGATTTTTGCTTAAATTTCTCATTTAGATCACAATCTGTATCATTCTTCAGGTCACTGGAGTTGAAAATTGTGAACTCCTGCATCTCTTTAAGCCTATAGGAACAGTCACTGTTGAAACTTTTAGGCATTTTGAGGACAAGACCCATATTTTATTCATCACAGTATCCCAAATTGTAACAGAATCAATGCCAAAAAATGCCAGTTGAGTAAAAAATAAGTGAATAAATCAATTAGAATTGAGAAGGAAGGAAGACTAGCTAGAGTTTGTGTTGAGGACAGAGAGTGGGTACAGAATGGTTAAGGGATTAGTAGAGGGGGAACCTCAGGACAGAGTGGAATTATAATTTACAATTTTGGAAGTAAATCGATTCCTGAGGACAATAAAGACATACTGATGGGTGAGTATTATCAAAGTGGAGGAAGTGCCCTCTAGAGAGCAGTTTGCCTAGCTTTTAAGCTCACAAATAGGTATTGACCTCTTAGTTCCTTTCACTTTGAGGAAGTACATGGACAGTTTTTCCTCCAAATGACTGTTGTTGCCACTGTTTTCATACCCGTTAGCCATTTATGTTCCAAATTGAGGGCTTCAGGGAAAATGCTTGATGTTTTTATGTTTTTCCCTTAATTGGAGTGGAGCTTTGTGCCCACACAGCCTGTCTGCTATTGTTGCATCATATCTACACTTTTAGCCAGCTTCCAAAATTCCCTAGTTGTCAATTGCCTAGGAAATGGTGTTTTCCATAGCAAGGACCTTGAATAATCAAACTGCCAGATCCATGCTATGTCAAGTATGGTGATTACTCTCTAAAGATAATCCCATTACAGATATGTTTCTCTCCTTGTGTGGACTCTGGGGAAAATGAATCAATTTCTAAATAAACACTATTATTTTAGAATAATTGAAATGAGCATAAGTCTTTGAAAGTGTTGGATAACTTTCCACATAGGGGAGAAATGCTTGTCGCAGTCAAAAGGAATACAGTATGTCATATTCTCTTACTATTGTTTGTGATGAAAATTCAAGCAAATAATATGTTTTCATATGCTGCAGAGCAAATTTTGACTCTAATGTAATACTGAACCATCAAGAATAATTATTGTAGTAGGTAACTGTATAGGAGTTAATGTGCAATGAAATATGTAACATCTAAACATATATGATTTTCTAAAAAACATTTTTCCAAAACATTTATTATTATTATATTACCATTTCAATTAATTAAGTATTTAAGAATTATGAGTCTTAAGTTTTGGCAATAAAATGGTCTATAATTTTAGAAGCCTATATAGTCTTTTTAAAAATTGAATATACCTAATTGCCTGTTACCATTTAAGACAGAGATTTTTAAAAAAATTTTTATAATCTGAGACTGACTATTTTCACTTGGCTAATTTGAATTTTCACAATTAATTTAATCAAAAACAATTCTACTGTAAGACAAAATGATAAGCTATCTAAATTAATATTTTTCAACATAGTAATTTTTATTCAATTTGTCTATAGCCCTACCCATCCTATTTCTGTTTTGAAACATATTTGATACTTGTTTCTTTAAAGCAGACATAATTTTCACTTGACTTTATTTTCCTTGTGTTTATCAGGTATTTTGCAATATGGATCTTACTGGGGGAGGTTGGACTGTAATACAACATCGTGAAGATGGAAGTCTAGATTTCCAAAGAGGTTGGAAAGAATATAAAATGGTAAGATGAGGTTATCTTCACCACACTATGTGATGAACCCTTGTATTTTTAGGTGTTTTCAGTTATTTAAAAAATAAAATATACATTAGTCACATTATTTTTATTAAACACAAAACACTCATAAATCATTTTCAGGAAATGATTTCCATATGTGCATCAGAAAGAAAAATGTATTACTGAAATTATTTGGTGAACTGTTATGTATTATCTGGATTTGTTCCTGGTCAAATGAGGGTGGGGGTAGCTAGCACGCAGACCCAGGCTGGGTACATGAACCAGGACAAGGGAGGCCTGCAGGGCTGTGGATTATAGAGAGGTACTAATAGTGGCCTCACACAAATAGATGGTGAGTTGTTATTGGGTGTTGACTAAGAGCTCCTCCATGTGGCTGGGTTGGGCTTGTCTCAGTATAGTGATTCAGGGTCATCAGACTTCTTATGTGGCAGTTGGCATCCCTCAGGCATAAAAATAGAAGCTCCTACACCTTTTTAAAGGATTATTAGACTCAGAAATTGCACTGTGTCACTTCCTTTGCTTTCTTTGGTTCAAGTTAATAACAGGGCCAGTCTACATCCAAAATGCGAGGAGTACACAAGGGTATGAACTGTGAGGTATGGTTCATTCAGGGCATCCAAAATAATAGCAGACATCATGGTCACCATCACTATCATCATAGCTAACCTTTCCAGTGCTTAACATGAGCCAGCTCTATACATAAATTCTTACTTATTTTTTATATCAAAACTATTAGCTGTTTCCATTTTAAGAGGAAAGTGAGCAAGTTAAGAGATCAATTTTTCCAAGATAATATAGTAGATAGTTTAAATAATGAATAATCCAGTAACCATATAGTCAATGCCTACAATATTAACTATTAAGATATGCTGACAGAATGTCAAGATACAGTAATGGAAAACACTTCCATTTATGGACTTATTCTCATATTTATATCTAAATATTCTGGATAACTCTTGTCTTGGCCAATTTTTGACAAGTTCTCCTCTCAAGAGGTAAAGAAAAAGGTGAAGAGAAATGTTGTACTGCTCTAAGTTCTGTCTTGTTATTCTTTTAGAAAATGTGTAAAAACTGTAGCTAATCAGCATAACAGTTTATATATTAGGTTAATAGTTGGTCAAATGACAGTTAAAAGGGTTTTAATAAATGAAGGGGGAATCTTGTGGTGTCTCTGTGTCTACAATATATTTTTTTATCAGATACCCAGTTGAACGCTCAGAATGTAGGTTTATAAATTTTTGAGTTTACACAAAGTTGGAACTTGATGTCTTGGCCACAGCAAACAAGCTAGGATTCTACAGAGATAATGTGGTGTTTCATCTAGACCAAAAATACATAAAATGAAGTGAGAAAATAGAATAAAAGTGACAAATTAGCTTAAGAACCTAGTATTTAAAATATGGATAGATTTACTTGACTATAAGCTCATTTCATGCTGTTGGCTACTAAAAACAGACCAGTGTACTCAGGATACAGTAATAGTTTGTGGTCTCAGAAAACTCAGAACTCAAGGGTGTCTGCCATAGTCCATTTACATCAGGAATATACTTTAAGTTCTGGTGGATTTTTTTTATAAATTTATTTTTTATTGGTGTTCAATTTGCCAACATATAGAATAACACCCAGTGCTCATCCAATCAAGTGCCCCCCTCAGTGCCCGTCACCCAGTCACCCCCACCCCCAGCCCACCTCCCCTTCCACCACCCCTAGTTCGTTTCCCAGAGTTACGAGTCTCTCATGTTCTGTCTCCCCTTCTGATATTTCCCACTCATTTTTTCTCCTTTCCCCTTTATTCCCTTTCACTATTTTTTATATTCCCCAAATGAATGAGACCATATGTTTGTCCTTCTCCGACTGACTTATTTCACTCAGCATAATACCCTCCAGTTCCATCCACATTGAAGCAAATGGTGGGTATTTGTCATTTCTAAGGGCTGAGGAATATTCCATTGTATACATAGACCACAGCTTCTTTATCCATTCATCTTTCGATGGACACCAAGGTTCCTTCCACTGTTTGGCTATTGTGGACATTGCTGCTATAAACATCGGGGTGCAGGTGTCCCGACATTTCATTGCATCTGAATCTTTGGGGTAAATCCCCAACAGTGCAATTGCTGGGTCGTAGGGAAGATGTATTTTAACTCTTTGAGGAACCTCCACACAGTTTTCCAGAGTGGCTGCACCAGTTCACATTCCCACCAACAGTGCAGGAGGGTTCCCCTTTCTCCACATCCTCTCCAACATTTGTGGTTTCCTGCCTTGTTAATTTTCCCCATTCTCACTGGTGTGAGGTGGTATCTCATTGTGGTTTTGGTTTGTATTTCCCTGATGGCCAGTGATGCGGAGCATTTTCTCATGTGCTTGTTGGCCATGTCTATGTCTTCCTCTGTGAGATTTCTCTTCATGTCTTTTGCCCATTTCATGATTGGATTGTTTGTTTCTTTGCTGTTGAGTTTAATAAGTTCTTTATAGATCTTGAATACTAGCCCTTTATCTGATATGTCATTTGCAAATATCTTCTCCCATTCTGTAGGTTGTCTTTGAGTTTTGTTGACTGTATCTTTTGCTGTGCAAAAGCTTCTTATCTTGATGAAGTCTCAGTAGTTCATTTTCGCTTTTGTTTCTCTTGCCTTCATGGATGTATCTTGCAAGAAGTTGCTGTGGCCAAGTTCAAAAAGGGTGTTGCCTGTGTTCTCCTCTAGGATTTTGATGGAATCTTGTCTCACATTTAGATTTCTGGTGGATTTTGAACAAATGAACTTATCCTATGAGGTGCAAGCAGGATGAATTAATGGGGCTCTAAATTAGAGGAAAAAAAGAGAATTAGGTATAAACCTGTCTGATGGCTATTTAAATTGATTGGTTGGAGGTAGATGTACTAGAGCCTGCTTCTCACAGTGCGGTCTAGAAACCAATAGCACTAACACTGCCTGGGAACTTATGAGAAAGGCAGCATCTTAAACTCCATCCAAGGCTTCCTGAATTAGAATCTGCATTTTAACACTGCTTTAAAGAGAGAAGCTCCATGACAAATGGAAGAACATTCTAGAGAGGGAAAAGTGATTGCTTATAGACAAGACTCTCTAATGACTTTAGACTGTCTAACGTGAATGGACTGTCTATTAAGTGGTGAGGACCTCTCTTCAGTGGAAAAAACCCTAGTAGATAGCAAATCATCAGGATTATTACAGAGAATATTGGTTCTACTTTAAGGTCTCCTTCTGCTTATGTGATTCTAAGAACACATGGGAAAAATTAATCTAAGTTCCAAAAACGGACCTTGCGTTATGTCTATATCAACAGTTTGAGTATTTGCTCTACCATTTACACATGGAGTGGTTTTTGGCAAGTCATTTAACCCATACCTTAACTTCCTCATTAGTTAAAAGGAGACATTAATGATAATATCTCACCTTCCTTGCAGGGATGTTGTGGGGATTAGATATAAATAAAGCACTTGGCACACTAAATTTTCAATAAACAGGAGTAATTACCCAAGATTAAGACATCAAAGACTCCAGAATTTTTACTTAGCTCTGCCAAAAATATTATTTTGCAAACTACTTGACTCACGATCACTTTCACCACTAAAACGGAATGTGAAGAAGTCATCTGAGAATCAGACTATAGATACAGGTTTAGGCAAATCTGAAATATATTACTATTAATATCAATGACAATAGAAAAATGAATAAAAAGTTATCATTGTGGTGACTTTCCAAAATGCTGAGTTATTATCTGTTACCATCTGCTGCCTTGGCAAACAGGCCTGTTGAGTAAGATGGACTGACATGTGAAGTACAGCATTGATTCATGTCTTATAAGTATTTACCAGATATATATATTTTTAAGCAATTTTTTTCATCATTTGAGGCTGAATTATTCTTTAATTTAGATTTTGGGGGAGTTTACCCCCCTCCCTTTTTTAAAAAATAGAAAGGTCATCCCATTTCATTCAAACTAGAACAGTGTATCAGCTGAGTGTCAATTCTACATGATCAGAAAATTGACATAAGCTCCAGAAATCTGAAACATTTTGGCAAAAATGAGTGGAACTGCTTTTTTAAGAGAATTCATTGCATGTCACAACTGGGTTAAATCTCACCAAAACACATGGTAGAAAGTGTTTCTGTTGTTTTCCTCCAGAGATTTAACCTAAAGACCAAATAGCATGAGTCCAAAAAGAATGAATGTAGGCTCCTTTATGCCAGTTCTTATCAGTCACACCCTCTTCTGTTCCCTGGATCAGGAGAACTGGCTGCTAGGGTGCGTGTCCTTTGGGAAAACACGAACTTCTTGGCAGGCACCACTTCCTCCTCAATCTTCCCTAATCTACTGGTGTACATCAAGATGCTTCACCTCTTTCTTGAGTATTGAATACTGAAATAAAATTCTCCCCCCCTCCTCCCTTTCTGCCTTACTTCTCTCCTTCCCTTCATTCTGGTTACTATCTATGGGCTGCCTCTTTTCTCATAAGGTTTCCAGAACAGTATGTTAAAATTATCAGCACATGAATCACAAATACATATTGTAATTTATTATTTTTTGAACCTCTCTCAACATGGAAGATTTGCAGTGTATTTGATGCTTCACATTGGCTTTAAGCCTACAAAAGTCTTTTACCTGAGCTTTGTTTTCACTTAACCTTCTTTATGAGGGGATTCAGCAAAATCTGGTTTATGGATTTGTAAAGATGTTTGCTGAGAGAGAAGTCTGCAGTGGGCCTTTTTAATGAGGCACTTAGGGAACTATATTAACTCTTTCAAGCCATGAGGATAGCATTTAGTGGCCTCCAGCAATAACACTTATCAGCAGTACTTTTTGCATAGATGAAGCCAAATCAAGCTAGGAGTTCCAAATAGTATCCTAGTGGCCTAACTTTATAGAAGGTAGTGACTAATGCCCTGGAGACAACCTGCCTTTGTATTGAAAACAGTTACCCCCATAAACAGAACTTCCTATTGACACAAATATTTCGATCT